GTTATTCATGGGAAACAATTAATGAGATATTTAAAATTTTTTTGTACTAAGTCTTTAAAACCTGATGAGTATTTTTCACTTATAGGACATCCCAACTCAGACTAATCACATTTCAAATGCTCAATAATCATATGTAGCTAGTGGTTATCATACTGGACAGTGTAGATCTAAAGGATTTCCTGATGGAAACAATTCAGATCTTTATACTTTTATACCTACAATAGATCTGACAATGCTTTAAAAATTGGACCATGTTTCTAAAATGTATCTCAAAAACATTTCCATGACTAATTTATCACAAAGGTAGTATAATCACAGTTGTTGATATTTTTATAAGGAGATATAAACTGACCTTTTTATATAAAAATATTACATTTATTTGCTACCTTTCAATAATAAATCACCTTGGTTAAGTTTAAAATTAATCTTTGGATTAAAGGGAACTATTACTATATTTGGTGCCTGCATTTATTAAGAAAGCCATGTCCCATATTGTACACAATGGCTGGCAAAAAAAAAAAAAAAAAAATCACAATTACTTGCTAAAGAATAGATGAGAAAAGGAAGAAATAAATGGTAGGACACTTATTTTTATTTATATAAGCATAAATGTTAAAACATAGATTTTGATGGTAGAATACATAAACAAAAAGGCAGCAGTGGACCATTTTAAGTAGGGATGGAGTAAGGGTGTGTTGGTGGATTGATCAATAGTTCTAGTTCCAGTGAAGAAACTGAAAGGGATTAGAGAAGTCAAAACAAAACTGTAACTTGAAATATTATTTCTCTTGCTTAGTTTAAACTTAAGCCAATCAACACTTCCTCCTCTTTTCTGGAGGAGGTACGAAATTACTATAGTAGTGTGTAGTAGCTAAGGCAAATGCAATTGTATTAGCCACAGTGGACTTCGTTAACCACACACGATCCTGTTCTAATCTCCTGCTTAAGTTGAAGGGGCTCATTTTTTTCTAAGTCAGAGAAGGAGACAGGGGGTTAAGAAGCAGATATACTTCATCCCGCTTCCCACCTCCACTCTTACATTAAAAATGGCAAATAAAGCTTTCTATTATCTTGTAACTCAGGCTTCAATGCTTAACTTTGATATATATTATAGTGATCAGTCTATATCAGTGGTTCTCAACTTGTGGGTTGCGACCCCTTTGGGGGTCGAATGAAAACCACTGTTCTATATTAAAGGAATTATATAATCCAAATTTAAATTAGCTAACTGGGGCCCAAAGTACCCTATGGAATTCCTTTTCAGCCCTGAATTTTATGACATCTGGACAAGAAATGGAAATAGCATACTTATAGGTTCTTTTATAGAGCTAAAACCTGACTCTTAAATTTGGGGATCAGTTGTTTTTGTTATTTCATTCAGCACACACTGTGAAACCACAGGGTACAAGGCACTGTATTAGCTAGACATGATGGGATTTATATGGTTCAGATTATTCCCAAACTCTTCAGACCTCAAGGTGCACTGCCAATCCTCATATCTCTATCTGTCACAAATATCCTTATATTAAAAAAACAAAAAAAAAAATCAGTTGGTACCCAATGGGAAGAAAATATTTGAGCACTAATCTCTTCAGTATCCTTGGAACTCTAGCTTGAGAGAGAGCTGCTAAGGTGGTGAGCTCCCTGAGGCAGTGGCTATGTCCAGCATGGAGGCCTGGTGGAAATATTTTAATTTTTACATTGGTTGTTTTGCAATTTTTTTAGTGAATAACATCTGTACCCTACACCAGGCTCAGTAACAGTACTTGGCATGACCAACCTTAGTCATCACTTTGGTAAGTGCTTTGGTACGGGCCACTGATGCTAACCACCATCCTGGTGCAGGTCCTTCTCATCTGCTCTCCTATGGATGGAAAAAAGGAAGTGTCTAGTGTCCATTCATTGGCCACATCACCTCCAATCCTATCCTTTACTCACATGCCTTTCAATTCAGGTACAGAAGAAAATGATTTCGTTTGTGAAAGGGAAAGTTAATCAGACAAAGCTACAGTACACTCTTAGCACAATAAAGACCTGGTTGAATGCAGGAAGGACATCCTAGAGTGACAGTTGAGGGAACTAACCAATAGTACAATGCTGAGAGAATGATTAGGAAGTGTTCTGGCAAACACTTACTATAACAGACAGACACAGGAGCACAGTAGACAGAGCAAAGGTCTTGAGTTCTGGAAAGTGAAGTCCTAGTCTTACTTTGTTATAAAGCTAGAAAGAGAATGTATGTGCAAGTGTTTTGTAAACTGTAAAAAGGGAACGAATTATCAGTCATTAGGTTAGAAACATTCTAGGTAATTATTAGGTACTTGTGTTCCTTAACAAAAAAATTTGATAACATATTAATCAAATAATAATAAAAGAACCTGAGTTCTTTGGAAGAAAGATGCAGTATGTGAATACCAAAGATTTACAAGATTAAATTTCCTTCCAGCTGGAATGACCATTTTTCCATTTTTCTATGAAGTGTCTCTTAAGCATCTAGGACCAGCACAAATGCTACTACCTTCCCTATGAAACATTCCCTGAATCATCCAGATACAATGAACTACTCCTTTTACTAGGTGCTTATAGTTCAACATAGATCTCACTTTGTCACTGTTTTCTTCTAACTTGTATTCTAGAATAGATTACAGCCATTTCCTCTGCCTAAATGTGAGTTTTCCAAAGGCAGAAACTGTCATATTCACCTCTGAATCTCCCTCAGCTTCTTAGTACAGTGTCTTCCAGATAGATGCTTAGTAAATGTTCTCTGAATTATACTGAATTTAGTCTACTTTGGCTTTCTGGCATCTTTTTTTAACCTCAAAAACAAAAAAAAAAAAGTGAAAAGAGAGAAGAAATTTAAGACTAATGAAGAATACAGCACAACAAACACATAATACACGTAAAGAATGGCTTCCTTCTTTGCATTCCTGCTCTGGAATGCCCACTGATCATCTTCACGGAGTGTCATCATTGGTTGTTATTAGTGAGAGCAAATGTTAGAAAGCACACAAAGGCAGACAATGTAAAACGCCCACCACACGTCATGCAATTAGGATGATTCTCAAGGTTAGCTTTTGCTTCAACTTTAATGGTAAATTGGCACCATCAAAGTCAACGTAAGATACATTTACTCCGCTTTACACATGCAAAAAATCAGTTGGGCATCTGCTGGGTATTCTGGGTATGTATGCATCTTTGAGGCATAGTTTAAATCAAGTAGAAGCTTGGGTTTTTCAGACTTGATATTTGTGTGTCTATTTGTTAGCAGGTTCTAGAATATGTGGATTCTCCTGAGATAAAAAGAAGTGCCTGTGATAGGGATGCCTTATAAAACTGTGGTGTCTCTATCCGTAAGCTGAATACCAGATTATCCTGCATTGTGTAAGGTAGTTCTTTCCTCCCTCTTCCATTTTTCCTAGCTTGGCGTTTACTCATCCAGGGTAAGAGGTCCAGTTAAACACCATCTATGTTAATCTTTAAAAACTCATGTTGTAGGTCAGAATATGAAACGTATGCAACTTAACTGGTTTATTGTCCTAGTAAACTAATATGCTCCACTCAGGCCCTTGCTAACACTTCCAGCTTCTACCACATGGACTCTGCTGGTTCTCACCCTAATTATACTTAGACTACTGTGTTTCATTTGCTACATCAGATCCTTCTGTAAGTAGCTAAGCACATATCTTATTTTAATATGTTCCTTTAGAATTATTCTTCTTCCTCATAAATGTTTGCCCTACCAAATATCTTCTCTATGCATGTTAATTCCTTCTGGGAAGACACACATAAGTTTTGTATAAAGATATGGAAATGCAATTTGCAAACAGTCAACAATGTCTTTTAAAGATCGTGAGCACTGTCAGCTGTACATTCTAACCTTCTTGGGAAAGAATGAAAACATGAAAGGGCTAGCTGGAAGTTACTGAGTTCTAGTCGTACTATCTTTGTAGATAATGAAGTTACTTACTTCTAGTTAACTTCTACCACATCATTTGAAAAAAGCTCACACTTTCAATACCTTAAATACCTATACTTGACGCACTCCCCATGCCAGTTGTTAGTCATTTCTGCCCTAAGCCTCCTGCTGTGCCCTCAACCTTTGCTTGGTTCCTGTTTCTTCTCTTTTATGGTTGGCTTTCTGACTGTCCCATTACAACTGCTACTTCTCTTAACTGAGGGGTACTAGCCTTTATGTAGTTACTGTAAAAAAGGAAATGACCAGAAGAAGTTAATCTTTAAGTGGCAGTTGCCACCAACACACAGAAGCATTCACTCAAGATGGCTTAAAGGAGATAGTGACTCAATGTATGACTGGAAAATAGAGCAATTCAGCCAAGTATGAAAGGAATTATTTTCTAATAACTCCTCTGAGATGCCTAGTTGCTTATTAGTACATACTAGATTTAATTATTTTCAAGACTACAGGTTATTTTTGGAGGGGAAGGAGGTATGAAGAGGGAGAGGGAAGATTGTTTTTTAGAATACCTAATTAATACAAGTGCCTGCTTTGAGAAAAATCTTTCATTTGAGCTATTTCTTTTTACTTTTTCCTCTTGGGCACATAACATTTTAGGTTTCTTGGTTTTAGCAGCAACCCAAAAAGGCATAATTGCAAACTTACACATCAAAAATGAAAAGAAAAAAAGCATCATGATTTATAACAAAAAGCCAAAACAGACTAAAACAAAAATACAAGCAGCAGCAAAATCATTGAATCTAAGTTAGAGCATCTTTTTGAAGACAGGGAGGTTAGTTGGTTAAGTATTACAGTGATACTGTCCTACATTGAGAGTTTAAATGTTTAAGAATGCACATCCAGAAGCGGCACATGTAGAAAAACTATGGTAGCCAAGAGATCTCTGAACTCCTGCTGCCTGGGCCACCCTGTTCCAATCAACATGGATTTCCAGCGTTACTGTTCTATGGTAACTCTCAGTGAGAGAGACAAAGAAATAGAACATTTTTAGAAACCAAGCAAAAAATGGATGGGAATACAATACCTGGAAAGTTTATCAAGCATGTTGACAAGTTTCATGGCTTCATATTCTTTTTGTTCTTCTGTCATTTCATCTATGGGGTTTGGCATTGGTTCCTCTAAATGACCAGTGATAAGATTAATGCTACAAAAAGAAAAAAAAGTTATGCTGTATGTTTTTAAATTATGCTCTTTCTATACTTTTCTGGTCCAAGTTTTAAGTTATAATAAGAAAGAGTATAATAGCCAAAAAGTGGCAATAATTTCAATAGTAATTTTATGGTATAGAACTTCTCTAGGAATTTCTTTAAAATGGACCTTTCTACTAATTTGCTTTGGGAAATGGGTTATAGTTTTTGTTTTTTTTTTTTTTAAGTAAAATTGACTTGCCAACTTTTTTTTTAAAAAAAGGCATGGCTGCTTTTTCAAAATATAAAATGTGATTAGTGCCGGTAGGATAAATATCCTTGGATGCACAGCTTATTCACTAATTATACGGGGACAAATGATCTCAGCAGAGAAATGTGGAAATCCACTTTGTGATACAGCATAAAACAACATGTCAAAAAAAAAAACTGGAAAAATGATGACAGAGAGGCTGCGATCTGGAAATGAAAGCATGCCAATTTATAATCTCAGGAAATTAGTCCATTAGTGAGACCACAGAGGGCGATAAATGTTTAAATAATATAAGATAAAGCAGAAGAACAATTTTAATTAGGCTTGATCTGCCCTAGATTAAAAAAAAAAGGAATGAAATGTAGTCTACCAAGAGACATGCCATCATCCTGACTTTCTGGAAATAGATTTAATACAGTACTAAAAATGAACACCTTGCATAAACTTGTATGAGGTTTCTAATACCAAGCAAACTATTCTCTTAGATAAAAGCCATACTTTTTCTTCTCTCTTTTTTTTTTTTGAGGGGAGGAAATAAAAGATAATAATTCTTTTAGTGGCTGCTAAATAACTGTAACAAACACTTTTTCTGGAGAAGCAGACAGGAGGGTGCAGTATATTGTATCAGCCAAGTACAGAGGGTTTTTTGTTTTTTTTTTTTTGAGACAGAGCCTCAAGCTGTCCCCCTGGGTAGAGTGCCATGGCATCACAACTCATAGCAACCTCCAAATCCTGGGCTCAAGCGAGTCTCCTGCCTCCGCCTCCCAAGTAGCTGGGACTATAGGCTCCCGCCACAACTCCCGGCTATTTTTTTGGTTGCAGCTTTCATTGTTGTTTGGTGGGCCTAGGCTGGATTTGAACTCCTCATCTTAGGTGTATGTGGCTGGCGCCTTAGCCACTTGAGCCACAGGCGCCGAGCCCAGAGGGTTTGCTTTAAATGATCAAATGAAATATCACTGCAAACAGCAAACTGGTAATAAATTGTTTTCCAGGGTCTTCAAACAAATGCTTTCAGCGGCTGGCACTTTAGGATAAATGAGTGAGTGAGCAGGTCAAGTACAAGCAAGGTAGAGTTTTGGAGACTAGGATAAACTGGAAAACAGTGCCAGTCCCAATTCTTAAAAATGATGTTGGTTAAAGCAAAAATCCTGTGATTAAGTATCCTTTGGCAGCCAGCTAGCAACTCATTTGAGGTTTTTGCTTGAGCAAAGTTACTTGCCTTACTGACCAGGGCTCTTCTCAATTGGAGTAAAGGCTAGCTCACTATGTACTGATATCTATTTTTTTTTTTTTTAGAGAAAAAAATCGATATTAGTCACCCTCAAGTTGAGTGCCATAGTGTCACAGCTCACAGCAACCTCCAACTCTTGGGCTTAGGCAATTCTCTTGCCTCAAGCCTCCCGAGTAGCTGGGACTACAGGTACCTGCCACAACACCCGTTGCAGTTTGGCTGGGGTTGGGTTTAACCTGCCACCCTTGGTATATGGGGCTGGAGGCACCCTACTCACTGCGCCACAGGTGCCACCCTGTCCTGCTATCCATTACTGTTAGAGTTCCTCTTCTACATTCCTCAGCAGCTATGTAGCATACAGGTTCTCAGAGAAGGACTCAGTGCTCACCATCCTCAAAAACCAGATTAAAATTCATCTTGCCATTCTTGCATAAGACCTATGTCTAGAGCTGTGGTTAAAAGATGGTTTTTCCAGTTGCGTTTAGTGGTATATGTGTAGTCCCAGCAACTTGGGAGGCTAATGTGGGAGGATCCTTTCAGCCCACGTGTTTGTGTCCAGCCTGGGCAATGCAGTGAGAGTATGTTATAAAACAAAACAAAACAAAAACATTCCCTTTTTTCTCTCAGAAACCCAATATATAAAACACATCCAAGTGAAATGCTCAGGCAGAAAGGGGATAGGAATAGCCAAGGAGAGTGGGAGCCTAGAACCCCTTTATTTGTCCTCCACCTTGCTTTCTCTTAAGGTAGTTTCATGGGCTCTGAAATCCCATACACTGAAAACCCATACACTCGTCACTGATTTTTAGCCTTGGCTGTACATTAGAGTCACTTGGGAAATTTTAAAGAAAAAGCTAGGGCCTTATCTTAAATCAACTAAATCTGTGTGTGGTGACTTTTTATTTTATATTTTCCAGGTGATACTGATATACCATGAGGTTAAGAACCCCTGGGCTAGAGTGCCTGCTTCAAATAGGCCTATTCATTGTGGGCTCCTATCGCCTCTCTTTTTTTCAGGTGCTCATAAAAAAAGAAGAAAAGGCCATCAATAAAAATGCTTAATGGGGCATCATTTTTCCCAAAAGTCAAGAACAAAGAGGACCTAGTATGGAGATGCCGATGACACACTGAAAAGGCAATTTCACCATCATCTATTATCTGGTCAGGCACACAGCAAGACATATATTCTACCACCTGCTAAATTAGAAAAACAACTAGTCTTAAAAATAAATAAAGGTAAGTATTATAGATACATACAATCAGTCCTTAAAAGAATAGGGTAGGTAGATGTATTAACTGTGTAGATCATGCTCATTTGCCTCTTGAGAAGGCTTCTCTCCTCAAATTCAATAGAGGAGTGATTAGAAAAATCAGGTCCCTAGATTGCTTTAGGATACAATGAATGTATACAAGTGATCAAGTTCTTAGGGGAAAAAATGCACCAGAAGGACACAGTGGTAATCTCTGTTGTATTTTGGATACCACAGCATACAGTCAGGATATGAATTCCTGGATTAGGACACATTTTCTTGGTTCTCTTAAGAACTTAGTGGAAATGATGTATATTCTCCACAGGCTGACCTCAAGTTCCTGGCTGCAAAAATGATTTAACATCTCACTCTGAAATTATCTACTAAAGTAACAAAATTCTTGCTATCTCAGTGTAAAAGCAGCAGTCAGAAATTCATTTCTACACAGAATAACAGCTCATCCTTTACCTACATGGTAAAATGTTCCAACCCCCCAAAAGTCATTCCAGGGATTCAGGTTTCATTTCTTCCTTTAAAAAGACATTTTCCCCTTGATACTCAGAAGGACATAAACAAAGCTATAGAAAACAAAAGTTAGGGCACTGAACTGGGCTGCAGCAGAAGGCACATGGACACTGTCTCTCATCCTGCTCCCTTCTTCACACATGTAGTTTCCCTACCCAGAAGAGGAAGAGAAAATAGTAGTCACCGTGACAATAATGATTTGGGATTTCATAAAATAAATAATTTTTGGTTGAACAAATACCTGGCACCTCAACCTCAAGTAGTTCAGTCTGAGACTTAACTTTCCAGGTTTCAGGATGTTAAGAAATTCTGGGGCTACTTTTGTTTCAAAATTGAGTCTTAAGATGCTTTAAGGACACTAACTGTGGTAGCCATTTACTGGGTAAATTATATTTATTATGATTCCTTTACTTTGTCTCTGCTCTCCCATCCCATCTTCCCAGCACTCTAATTCTGTTATTTATAACTTCCAATTAGGGGACAAGAAGTATCTAAATTCTTATCTGTGGTGTTTTGTCATGAATTATGTATTATATAACCATTATATGAACTGACAGCAGCTATGGGCCTGGAGACAAAAGGATTAAGATATACTAAAAAAAAAAGCTATGATCAAATGAACACATGTATAAAAGCTAAACTATATTTCAAGTTTTTTGCTCACTGTTGCTACATTTCGCCAATATCAACAGTACTACACCATTTAATAAAAGAAGATCCATTAAAAGTTCCTTTTAATGAAATCTCTAAAAAGACCCCATTCAATCTCTAAAAAGTATGGCTTAAAATTTTACTCAGAGCATCCTGGTTAATGAAGGGACTATAAAGTCAAATCCCTACAGGAACTAGGTGGGTGAGATAAGTGAACAGGCAAGTTGTCAAACCAAGAGCTTATGCCTGGTATGAGGGCTGAGTTCAGTCACTCAATTCCATTTGTTGGTTGCTACGTGAGAATGTAGGCCCTAAGTTATCAGAAATTTCAATTTTTCAAAAGAAGCTAGAAATCTAGCGTATTTCTAGATATTTTCATCTAAAATATCTAAGTTCTACATGTTGGTAAGTAACTAAATTAAAAAGTAATGTATAAAAGAAAAAACAAAACACAAACCAAATAACCAATACTAAATGGGGCAGACCAAGCAAAACATGCTTGCAGGCTAAATCTAGCCTGTGCCTGATAATTTGCCATCTCTACGAAGGCAGTTCTGGTTTTTAAGGAAGGGGTTCTAGTTTTTAAGGAAAAGGCATTTTGTAATTAAAGACCAGGAAAGATGGAGGCAGGTCAGGTGGGAAAGGATATGAGGCTAAAAATGTCTTTCTAGGAGGAAAAATCCAGAATATTTGGTTACCCTCTATAACAGTACAAAGAACAAAATGGAAATTTACTATATCCTGATTTTCTTGAATTCTATTACCTGGCTCTCACTTCCCATCCAGATGTGGAGCTTGACAAGAATAGGAAACATGATCATTTTGGTATTCTAATACCACGGAGGGGTTGGTTGAGTCAAAAAATTAACAACTCTAAAAATTAATTCATTCAATAAAAAATTACTGAGTGTCAGGCACTATTCTGGGGATTATTAGAAGGAACAAAATTAGATCCCTCCCCACAAAATCTCTTCCCTCATGGAGTTTACCTTCCAACGGGAAAAAACAGATTTAATGGATAAGTCACTTAGAATTTTAGAAGGTGCTAAATGCTATGGGAAAAAAAGAGAGCGGTCAAGACAGGAGGAA